AGGAACAGATGACTCAGTTGTGGTTACGACAAATGAAACACAGCCATTCTCATCTGAGTCCCAGGTTTTCAATCAGGGTCAACCAAAAAGTAGTAGCATTACGAATATGCCATTCTGCTATTAAGACCCCTTGTTTCAATATCTCTATGCAGCTACCCTTTATCTGGGTAATCATGATAAAAACACTAAGATTCAAAATATAATATATACAGAGAGAGGGTATGAAATAGACAAATTGATTGATCGAATATTTTAGAGGAAAATCTTAAAATTATTTCATTTTCTCAATCTACTTGTGCGAAGTTCTAGACAGACTTTTTAGAATCAAAGGGGTTCAATTATGAAGGACTAGCAAAAATGTTAGGCAAATTGGCTTAAGTTTGTAAAAAAATATGCTTGATTTCTTCATTTAAAAGTTATGTGTTTCGTTTGGAAAACGTGTTTTCTCAGCAAACTATCTGCATACCCATGGGAACCAACTGTGCTCCTCGTCTTGTCTACTTGTTTCTTTATTATTACGAGGCTGAATTCATACAACAGCATCTTAGGACAAATGAACAGAGCTTATATTATCCTTTAATTTCGCTTTCCGCTATATAGATTATGTCCTCTAACTAAACAATTCAAAATGTGGTGACTATTATGAACGCATCCATCCCATCGAAAAGAAAAGATACAACAGATATAGTTAAATCTGCTTCATATCTTGACTTAAATCTAGAAAATGACAATGATGGTCGTTTGAGAACATAACTTTACCACAGAAGAGTTGATTTCAGCTTCCCATTGAAAACTTTCTATTTATAGGTTGCAACATTCTAGCATCGCCTGCATATGCAGTACATATTTCCCAGTTGATACGATAATTCAGGGCTTGCGATTCCTATTATTAATGTGTGACCTTCCGGATAAGACTTATCATAAAGTTCGTATTTACATTAGCAACACGATGGGTGCCACATGTGGAGCTGGATATGCTCACCATTCCGGAAAACCTGAGATCACCCCCAGTGTTTGGTGTGGTTCGTGTTGCTCAGTCTTTAGTTTTCTATATCATGTTTTGTGTTCTGTTGTTTTTCTTTTGGTCCCTATTTTTGCTATGGCTTTTTCAGTTTACTTTCAACATATGAGAGTGAATGTTCCTTAGGTATCGCCTCTTTTTGACATTTGTTAAAATGTTTATTTCGTTTTCCACTTGTTCATGCGTAGTTGCAAGTACAAACCAAAAAAGAATAGCATACCAGGGTTGATCAAACGAAAGACCAACCGTATGTAGAAAGTAAAATAATAAAATAACCGAACTCCGAGGAAAATTCAAACGGAAAGTCCATTATCGTCATATTCCTGACTTTGTACAGGCATTTTCATGTGTAGGAAATGGTGGATTAAAACTGGTTTTATATCTAGCTTTACATTTGTTAAAATGTTTTTTTCGTTTTCCACTTGCTAATGCACAGATGCAAGTACAGACACATTTTATGTCCATATATCAGATCAGAACTACCAAATTTCCAAGAACCTGTGAGCTTTTGTATTCTGGTATAACATGTATAAAGTACTATTCTAATATAATATTCTTAAGGTATAGCATTAAACATTCGTTTCATTCGATATTTCACATTATTGAAAACTGAATGAAAACAGCACATATTCCTCAATTAATATTCTAAGAAAAAGAGTTTAATTTTAACTGCCATTGAATATCTTGAATTGATCAAAACAAAATTCAATAGCTTTAAATCAATTGCTTGATTTTCCTCCCAAAAATAGCATGCAGTTTGGTAAATATGTTTAACCAAAATATTGCTAATTACACAAATGTAAAGTTTTTAAATTTATCTACACTAGTTAAACCAGAAGAGAAGGTCAGAGTTCGTAGAAAAGCTAGACCAGCCACTATTAGAACAAAATCTGAGAGAGGTATGATTCGTTTTAAATTATTAATAACAGTAATATCAGTAGACGTGTTAGGAAAGGGGTTTAAATACTGCGCTGATGTTAAATACCAATACCGATACAAGATTTAAGTGTGGACTTTCTCAAAACGCAATTGCAGTGAAAAGTATCCCGGCGTAGTATAATAGTTTACCTTTGTGGTGTGTTTGATACAACATGAAGCGAACAGTTAATGTCGACTCCAAATTTTAAGACGTGCATTGGCCTTACGTAGATCTTCATACATTCATACATTAATTTGTATTTGTTTGATTTAAGAGTGCAAAACTAAACTTAACAAAAATATATGTAAGAGTCAAGAATGGGAATGACGGATTTTACGGCCACAAGTCCAAATATATATATTAAGCGATATTATTAAAATATGCTTAATAGTTGAATAACTCGGTTTGTCTCTCCACAATATATATGTCCTTTTTCCGTTGCAAAATATAGTTAGCATGCATTTTGTGTCCAGGGATACAGGAACGCGTATACATGTGTGGCTTAAACAAATCAGTACTAATCTGAACACATCTTTATATCTTTATATAAAAAAGTAAATAAAAAGTGGACACAAGTGGATACAGTGCTATTTCTATATAAAACTTTAAGAAGCAGGGGGCTACATAAGAAGGTTGTCTTGCTGCGCATCGTTTTAATGTTCAAGAAAACCACTTTCCATGAGCTATATGTGATTCGTATTGTCTACTACTTTCTGGGTATGAATGCAATGAATGGACAGAGGGACGGAAGAACGGACGGATGGACCAATTCACCTATCACTATATACCGTCAAATTTAGAAAGCGGAGTGTATAGTGAATCTAAGGCAAAACAAAATGAAGCAAATCGAAAATATATATGCCCGACATATAATTTAGCAGACTTTGTTTTGAAAGAGTTGAAAATGAATATTCCATTTTCAAAATAACCTTCTGACCCAAAGATACTAATATTAACTTCTCCATATGAAAGTTTAACGCCACTTTCAACATATCTCAATTTAATCGTGGTGTTCTGTTTTGTTGGTGGAGGAAGCCGTGGTAACAAGAAGAAAAAAAAACAACTTCCGACCCTTCACCGAAACGTAAATTTAACATGCTTGATAATGTCCAAACGTTTCAATCTTTTAATACTTAATTCGATAACCTTTCTTTTCCGTAAAACTAACTGATAAAAGTTGATAGAAGGAAAATGTCAGGGCAAATTCTTTATGTGTACAAGAATTAATTCATTTAACATTATATAAAATTGTCAGTGACCTTTCTAGATAAAATAAAAATATAAAGATAATCAAATTGAAAACGCTTTTGTTTCAGTCTTTTTTTAATTGTCAAGTACACAAATTTCTAGTTTGGTTTATTTTTAGAATTTTAGAAAATGATATAAAATAAGGAGATGCGGTATGATTGCCAAAATAGACAACTATCTACCAGAGACCAAAATGACGTAAATGTTTGCAATCATAGATCACCGTACGACAGACCCCAAACACGGAGCAAAACCATTCCATGCGTATAAAAGCTAAGAAAGGCCCCGACATGACAATTATTTTTTTAAATAAATTTCAAATAAACGAACGTTTTGAACAAAGATTGATGCAGGTTAAAAAACAGATTCGAATGTGATTTGATTCCTGTGTTTTTTTTCTATTCATTTATTTTGATCACTTTGTAGATTTTCCTTGTAGTCGTTCAACAAAATAGTAAGAAATGGGGGAACAACGATCTTAAACTTAATCGATCCCTACTATGACACAATGCAAGAGTAATGATCGTGTTGTTTTGCTGGATCCTCTTCCGTGTATTCATGTATTGCGGAATAAATTGTTAATATTTTAATGTTTAAAAATCATTTCAACATTATCAAACAAACCCATACAGGTAACTATAATGAATGTTCAGATGGTCCCCGCTATAGCCTGTAGTGGTATTGGTATTTAACATCAGCGTCAAAATCATATTGACTTTCCTAACACGTCTAATAATACATTTACGCTTCTGATATTCATATATCGCAAACCATGTTCAGTTTTAAAATTGTAATTTGTATACAGCGGTGCATTACTGAGAACATTAACTCTTCTATCAAGTATTTTTCTGCCTACAAAAAATATATACATGTAAATACATCATTTCATATATACATGTAAATATATTATATGGACGATTATTATACATGTTATATACAGAACAAAAATTATGCAATGATTTTGAACACCAGCATCGACAAGGAATATTATTCTCATACGCACATATTCCTGAATTAGACATTTCAGAATTTCATTCTAATAGTTTCATAGTAATTTCATTGCTCGTATTCGTAAAAAAAAAAAAAAAAAAAAAACCCAAAAATTCACGTCACGTCAACTTCCATTTTGAGAATGTAGTTAACTAATCACCACAAGAAAGTTTTAAATAATGAATGGCGAATTAATTGTATTATCTTGCCAACATGCACATCAGTGTATTAAGTTATTGACAGAAGCTGTCTAATTACTAATGAAATGAAATGAAACAAAATTTGTCTAAATGACTCAATATTTTTTATACCTGTGAATAATTGTTGTAATTCATGTACTCAAATGATATTGAAGAGAGGCAAAAGATACCAGAGGGCCGTTCAAACTCATAAATTTGAATTCATGCTTATCCATAGTAAGTCGAAATAGTATTATATAACGATTATCATAACAGCAATGCTGAAAGGAAACTGATTGATTGGTTGATGGATAGATTGGTGTTTAAAGTAAATTTAAGGGCTGTTGCTATTTCTTGGTGATCAATTTTAATTGGTGGTGGAAGCAACTGTCGGTCCTAGTCAATTAAGATTGAAGTCGAACTCACCTGTCACGTGCCAGACTCGAAGTCACAACCTCAGTGTTGATAGGCTAGTGATACAGTATTAAGACCAGGTTGACCACTAGGCCACCGAGGCCCCATCAAAAGGGAAATAGCTTGCTTTAACGGCTTTTATATTTGGTCAAAACAATTGTTAGATTAAAATTTGTTACAGAAAATTTCCTCCAAAAAATAGCATGCCATTTGGTTAACATAATCTAACATGTTTAACCAAAATATTGCTAAATACACAAATGTAAGTATTTATGGAAGTTCGGTCATTCTATTGGCATGTTATTTCAAATTTATCTACACTAGATAGATCAGACGAAAAGGTCAGTGATGATAGTGCAACTACACCAGCCAATAATGGAGAAAAATCTTTGACCGGTATGATTCTTTTTAAATTGTAATTCACAAAAATATCTATAATACATATACACTTCAGATATTCATGTATCGCATACCATGTTTAGTTTTAAAACTGTAATTTGTAAACTGTTATATCATGTATTTTGATGGATGTAAATATATTTTGTGAACGATTACTTTATACAGAAAAAAAAACCCATTATGCAATGATTTTTAATAACTGCATCGACAAGGAATATCATTCTCATCCGCACATTTCCATGAATTAGACATTTCAGAAGCTGGATGACTTTTAGTAATTTCATTACTCGTATTCGTAAACAAAAATAAATTCACGACTCTGGTTGCACCTCCATTTTGAGAATGTTCTTTACCAATCATCACATTTTGGTGTATTATTTTTAAAATATCCCCAATATACCGCTAATTCAGGTCCGGCAAAAGAATAAAGATTTAAACAAAACAGTTCCTACGCATACCTCTACCTCTGTAAGTATGTGAAATGTTTGGGTAATTTTAATATAAAACATAAAACCAGGTTTAATCCACCATTTTCTACATAAGAAAATGCCGGTACCAAGTCAGGAATATGACAGTTGTTATTCTTTCATTTGATGTGTTGAGCTTTTGACAGTTGATTAGGGACTTTACGTTTTTAATTTCTTTCGGAGTTCGGTATTTTTGTGATTTTACTTTTTATTGATTTCAAAATCTTTAAGAATTTGATCACTGACAAATTTTGATTGTTTCTTTTGAATGATTAGAAAAAAAATATAAAATTGAAATACGAATTCTTATTTTGCCCATATATCAGATCAGAAGTACCTGATTTGTAATTCCAAATTCCCAGCAACCTTTACGCTTTTGTTTGCAATAAAAAGCATGTTAAATGTCAATACAAGACCGGATTAGGTATAGATTTGATATACAAATACTGTAAATAATTTAAACTAATGACAAAATAAAAATCAATGCTATAAATTTCAGAATTTATCATAAAAATCAATTGGGCTGTGCGTACATTGTTTCTATTCATTTTTAAATAAGCCTGTAAAAATCATATTTTAAAGTCATGCTTATTTACATTTATATGTACTACACCATAAACGTATGTTTTATTCTCAATTATATTTTGTAATTGGTATACTATATATGTTGCTTTAATGCCTGATGAAAAAAATACAATACTCAATAAGTCAAGAAGAAAATAAAAGTAGCGGCAACACGATGACATCTGATGTTATCCTGGTTTAAAGTACATTTCTATTACAATACTCCTAAAGTATAACATTAAAGATTCGTTTCATTCGATTTTTTACATAATCGAAAACTAGATGAAAATAACCCATATTCCTTAATTAATATTCAAAAGAAAAGAGTTCAATTGTAACTGCCATTTAATATTTTGAATTGGTCAAAACAAAATCCAATAAGCTTGACAATAGTTGTTAGATTAAAACCTGTTTCAAAAGAGAGGAGATAGATACCAGAGGGACATTCAAACTAAAGTCGAAAACAAACTGACAACTCAATGGCTAAAAAAGAAAAAGACCAACAGACAAGCAATAGTACACAAAACACAACATAGAAAACTAAAGACTGAGCAACACGAACGCATTCAAAAACTTTGGGTGATCTCATGTACTCCGGAAGGGAAAGCAGATCCTGCTGGATCATGTTAGTTCAACCCCGGTTCGTAATAAGTCTAATTCGGAAGGTCAAATTCGGGAAAAGGGGACGGGACTGTACTTACGTTATTAGGAACATATCCGTTATCTTCTGTGATACGGATATTCCATAACGTTCATCCAACTCGTTATGACGTCAATTAAATTGACGTATTGATGATTTCAACTTCACCACTTGGAACTCATGGTTTGTGAACTTTCTTGTGAGCAGCAACCCTCAATCAAGAAAATCATGATAGGAAATAAGAGCCCTGGGATATCTTATCAACTAGGAGATATATACTCCGTAAACAGGCGCTGCTGGAATGTTGCTACATAGAAATGGAAAGTTCACAATTGGGAATATGAAATCATCCCTTTTGTCGTACAGTTTTACTTTCAACAGATTCTCATTGTCAATATCTAGATGTTAGTCAAAATATGAGGCAGACTTAACTGTAACTGTTGTATCCTTTATCGCAAGTTTGATGGGATAGATTCGTTCAACATAGTCACCAAATTTTGAATTATTTGATGAGAGAACATCATTTTTATAGCGACAGGTAAAGCTAGAGAATACTGTTAACTTCTTTTCTTTCTTTTTAAAAAGTTTCTTTATAAAATCAGTCTAATATGAATACAAAAACAAGTCGACGAGAAGAGGAGCACAGTTAGTTTGCATGAGAATGCCAATTGTTTGTTGAAAAACACGTCCTCCAAACATAACAAATATGTTGTCAATCAAGAGATCAAGCATCTTGATAATGTCGGTTTTATAGTATTTTTGATTTGAATCAAAGTGATTTTTACAAAGTAGGATTTATCCCTCCCTAAGACAAGATACTTGTATTTACGTTGGCCATTCTGTTTTTGAACCAGAGCAGGACCAACTCTTTCAATGTGTCTTTTAGTTTTGAATGGGAAATACAATTGAGAATGGACATGTGGACTGTGTCAAAACAACATAACCAAAGAACAGAAAACAGCCCAAGGCCACCATTGGGTCTTCAATACAGCAAGAAAATCCCGCAACCGGAGACGGGCTTCAGCTATCCCCTAAACAAAAATGTGTACTACTTGTATAAAGGGTAGAAAAGTCAAATGTTTTGATACTATTGCAAGATGAGATCTTTAGAATTTTTAAGTATCCACATCTGATTTACGCCACCTCTGGGATTCAAGAATTTCCTCCCAAAAATAGCATGCAGTTTGGTTAATATAATCTGATATGTAAAACCAAACTATTGCTAAATACAAAAATGTAAGTTTAAATGGAACTTCGTTTATTCTATTAGCATGCTATTTTAAATTTATCTACACTAGATACATCAGACGAAAAGATCAGTGATGATAGAACAACTACACCAGCCAATAATAGAGAAAAAGCTTTAACAGGTATTATTCTTTTTAAATTGTAATTAGCAAAAATATCAATTCAATAATACATTATCGCTCCCGATGTTAATATATTTCAAACACTGTTTAGTCTTAAAATTATAAGTTGTGTACAGCGGGGCGTTAGTGAGAACTGTACCTCTTCTATCAATAGTTGTTGTCAAGACGTTGTCGATGACGTTGTATCAAAGCAAAGATTGAATGCGTACAATACATTTTTAGTTCTTTGCATTTTCTACTTTATTTTCATTAAAAAGCCAACGGTCAATGTAATAAAAAGAATAACTAATAAAATGCCTTATAACTTAACATGAATTGTTAAGAAGTTTAATAGAAATAACACATCAAGTATATCTAGTTGGACATACACTCCTAACCTTGTTACATATAGAATAACTTATCAAATAATTAGATATTGAAAAGAATTAACTCGTGACCGGACAACATTAAAAATTAACTCAGTGCTACACGCATGAGTGTATTAATGTGTTGGTCGGTCACTAGTTGAATATTTTTCAATATCACAACATTAAATTTGTTAATTACTCATACTGTGGATTCATTTATTTTCGTGGGTACCAATTTTCGTGGATTAGCGAAAACTTGCATGTTCGTGGATATTTAATTTCGTGGTTTTGATGAAGTCTACATACAAGCCTATAGAAAATGTGTCATTCGTTGAACATTGAATTTCGTGGTTCATCTGTAACCATGAAATCCACGAAAATTGGTATCCAACGAAAATTGATGAATACACAGTATTCAGTTATAAGGCATCAAATAAAAACAAATTTGTCCTTTCTAACCATAAGGAATAGCTATGGTAATATTGAAAGGTAGAAATAGGTATACCGCTAATTCAGGTCCTGTCAAAAAATAAGGATTTCTGCGCATACCTCTTACTTTGTAAATAAGTAAAATGTTTGGGTAGTTTTGGTTTCAAAATCTTTAGGGCACAGAAGAATAATTGTTGAATGATTCTTTTGAATGATTAAAAAAAAAATATGAAATTGAAATAGGTAGGAATATTATGCTCATATATCAGATCAGAAGTACCTGTTTTGTTGTAACATATTTCCAGGACTTGTGCGCTTTTGTATGAAATAAAATGCATGATAACTGTCAGTACAAGCCCGGAGAACGGGAGAAGTATAAAAAAGAAGATGTGGTATGATTGCCAATGAGTCAACTCTCCACAAGAGACCAAATGACACAGAAATTAACAACTATAGGTCACCATACGGCCTTCAACAATGAGAAAAGCCCATAGCGCATAGTCAGTTATAAAAGGCTCCGAAATGACAAATGTAAAACAATTCAAACGAGGAAACTAACAGCTTCATTTATTTCAAAAGCATGTTATATGTCAGATGAAACTCGGATAAGGTATAGTTTTGATATAAAAATATTGTAGATTATTTAAACTTGTGACAAAATAAAAATCAATACTGTAAAGTGCTGAATTTATCGTAAAAATCAATTGGGCTATGCGTACATTGTTTTATTTCCATTATGAAAAAGCATGTAAAAATCAGATTTTAAAATCATGCTTATTACATTTATCTATACTACACCATATAGTATGTTGTATCAATGCTTGATGAAAATAACAATATGCAATAAGTCAAGAAGTAAATAAAAGTAGAGGAAACACGCTGAAATTCGATATTATTGGTATAAATTACTATTCTTATTCAATATTCTTAAGGTATATAACATTAAACATTCTTTTCTTTCGATTTTTCACATTATCGAAAACTAGATAAAAAAACACATATTCCTTAATTAATATTCTAACGAAAAAGAGCTCCATTGTAACTACCATTGAATATTTTGAATTGGTCAAAACTAAATTCAATCCCTTGAAACTAATTGTAAGTTTGACACTTGTTTTAATGATTTCATTCCAAAATTGCATGCAGTTTGGTTAATATAATCTGATATGTATAACCAAAATATTGATGAAGACACAAATGTAGGTTTTAATGGAACTTTTTTCATTCGAATTCTATTGGCATATTATGTTAGATTTATCTACTCTAGTTACATCAGACGAAACGGTCAGCGGTGGTAGAACAGCTACACCAGCCAATAATGGGGAAAAATCTTTGACAGGTATTATTCTTTTAAAAGTGGAATTAACAAAAATATCAATAATACATTTACGCATTTTCTACTTTATTTTAATTAAAAAGCTCATTGTCAATGTAATAAAAAAAATAACTTATAGATGTGTTACGAAAAGGTATATACTCGACGCTGAGGTTGACAAATTAGACTTTATAAGTGGGGACTGTGTCAAAACATAATGGTTGATTTTCGATTAAAACCGGTAACATTCATTTTGCGTGATGTTAACCTGGTATCTATCATACACAGTTCTAGGTTCATTTAAAATTATATTAATTTAGAAGAATCATTTTCTGATATCATTGCTTTTGATTATAAGACGGGAAAGGTGAACGTGTGTGCGAGGGGAGGGAGTAATGGTTATTCAAGTATGCACTTCTAGATTTGAAAAAAATTAATATAAGCCAGTTTGATTCTTTTATATTAATTAGTTCTTCGAACATATCAAACTGTCACTCCATTTCTAAACTTCGTCCTGAAAATGCATGAACTATTTGTCACTGGACGAAAACAAACAACAATCAAACAATCTTTACTAAACCTGCACAAAACTCTACAGTCTGGTTGATTTTTTGTTCTGAAGTCACCATAGGCTTCCACTGATTTTCAAAGTTGATAAGCGCCTAAAAGCGTGTTCCACAGATAACCGACACCCGAACGATAAGCGCAAGTTCATTTTTTACATAATATTCTTTCCGCTTTTGGTCTACAGGTAGCTCGAAGTTTATGATGCCTATACAGGGTTACAAGAGGAGATTGACATGCGATATTCTATTACCTAATATGACAAAATCCTAGGGGAAATCTAACTTTATGCCTGGTCAATTGAAGGCAGTAGATTAAACTGTTGAGCATCATCTGGTTGTCCTAGGAAAATACTGCGTGTAAATCTTATATGATTCCTACTGTCCACAAAAACCTGCGTATGTATATGCAATGCCGGTATCTGGAGTAAATTTATTCCCGAGGCTCTGCGTGTGGTCTGTAAATTGCATGAACATTGCTGTCAGTTACCGCTAACACTGTGGGCATTTAATGTCACCTGCCACATAGTTGTCGCCTATTTTCTACGGTCGACTAAGAAGTATTTCGTCACGTCATACATTTCACAAAGAATCGGTATCTAAGCATATATTTGTGCACTCGCAGCATGAACAGAAACATCAAAGAGAAATATGCAGGAATATGTATTTAGGATTTCAAACCGGCGAAAAACGAGTCACCCTTGCAAGAGAAATATCAACTTGTTTTTCATTTTTTAAAGACTTTGTTAAAGTTAGAGTTAAAGAAATAAACAAAGAAAGTACATGCATTAGAGGGTAAGGATATTTTTCTGACTCTTTGAAAGGATGGTCAAACGGTTAAGACAATTTTAGACCTCAGAAATTACAATGCGAAATGTTTTGAAACTTTGCATAAATATCTACATGGTGTCTTTTTCCAAAGATCCTCATTTCGTTGGGTCGAACCAGTCACATTTTACATGAAATTGTATAAGGGAAATTAAGCTTTTCCTGAGTAGGTATAAACAGATTATTATGAATAAAATCATTTACAAGGTCTAGTCAAGGCTAGCAAGGCTACAGAGTTGTCATGTTGGTCATTTGTACAATTGCCAAAAGTTCACGAAATTTCAACCTCCGAAAACAAAAACGGCAAACTTTATCCAAAATAATTCCATGAAAGGAGTTGCACATTTTCTATGTATATACATACATTGTGCAAAGTTTAAAAGCTCCTATGTTAGGAAAAAAGTTCTGACTTCGGGTAAACACCCCTTTAGGATAAGTGGTCCGTCCCTATAGATTTCGTAAACGCAAAAATTTAAGATAGCAAGTACTTATTGCTTTAAATTATAGAGGTTTGCGGGAATTTGTTTCTCTTATCCATTACTACTTTTTCTCGGCTTCCCTTCTCTCTTCTAAATTTTATATCCTTTCTGCAATGTCCTTGCCTCCTATCAAAGGTGCAAAAGGAAGAAATATTATGGGATTTATAATTTTTATTTCTCACAGAATAATTGTTATGGAATATATTTGTTCCATAAGGAATAGGTATAATGAAATTGTCTATGTAGAATAATGTTTTCAAAAGGACGTCTGTTATAAGGTACAAATATACGTGGACATCAGTATTATGCAGTGTAAGCATAAGATTCAAATGATACACAGGTAATTTAAATCTTTAAAGCACTTTTGTGTTTTGATACAATACCTACATTTAAAGTCTAATTTGTCAACCTCACCGTCGAGTATATACCATTTCGTAACACTCTAATAAGACGCCTTTATAACTGAATATGAATTGTTAACAAGTTTAATAATAGTAACACATCATGTATATCTAGCTGGACATACACTCCTAACCAGTGTTACTTATAGGATAACTAATCGAATAAATCAAATATTGAAAAAAAAACTTCAACTCGTGACCAAACAACACTGAATATCAACTCAGGTGCTACGCGCATGAGAGAATTAATGTGTTGCTCGGTCACTCGTTGAATATTTTTCAATATTTTAATTATTAACAACGTTAAATAAATTTGTGAATAACTCATATTCAGTTATCAGGCATCAAATAGAAACGAAATTTGTCCTGTCTTACCATAAGGAATAGCTATAGTAATATTGATATATAGAAATAGGTATACCGCTAATTCGGGTCCGGTCAAAAGTAAAACAGTTCCTACGCATACCTCTTACTTTGTAAATAAGTAAAATGTTTGGGTAATTTTGGTTTCAAAATGCTTAAGCACTTTGGTCAGTGGAGAATAATTGTTGAATGATTCTTCTGAATGATAAGAACAAATGTGAAATTGAAAGAGGAGGGCACACTATGCCCATTTATCAGAACAGAAGTACGTGTTTTGAACTACCAAATTTCCAGGAACCTGTCGCTTTTGTATGCAATAAAAAGCATGTTCTATGTCAGTACAAGTCAGGGTTAGACATAGTTTTGATATAAAAATACTGTAGATCATTTAAACTTATGACAAAATAAAAATCAATGCTGTAAATTGCAGAATTTATCATAAATATCAATAGGGCTGTGCGTACATTGTTTTAATTACATTATGAAAACTCACGTAAAAATCAGATCTTAAAATCATGCTAATTACATTTATCTATATTTGTATGGAAGTTGTTATCAAATAGTCCGGTTGATGTGTTTCTCTCGATTTTAGTTTTAACCCGGATTTGTTTTCATTTAATCGATTTATGACTTTTGAACAGCGGTATACTACTTTGCCTTTATCTTTACTACACCATAAAGTATGTTCTTTTTTCAAATATATGTTATAGTTGGTCTACTATATATATATTGCTTCAATGCTTGATTAAAATAACCCAATAAGAGTCACGAAGAAAATAAAAGTAGAGGAAACACGCTGAAATTCGATGTAGTACAATTCTAATATAATATTCTTAAAGTATAACATTAAACATTCGTTTCATTCGATTGTTCTTATTATCGAAAACTAGATGAAAAAAGCTCATATCCCATTATTAATAATCTAAAGAAAAAGAGTTTAATTGTAACTGCCATTGAACATTTTGAATTGGTCAAAACAAAATTCGATAGCTTGAAACCAATTGTTAGATTAAAACTTGTTAAAAGAATGTCCTCCCAAAATAGCATGCCGTTTGGTTGATATATTCTGATACGTTATACCACAATATTGCTGAATAAACAAAAACGCCGATCTTTCTATTGGCATGCTTTTTTAGATTTACCTACACTAGTTACATCAGACGAAAAGGTCAGCGATGGTAGAACAGCTACACCAGCCAATAATGGAGAAAAATCTTTGACAGGTATTATTCTTTTAAAATTGTAATTCACAAAAATATCAATAATACATTTACGCATTTTCTACTTTATTTTCATTAAAAAGCTCATTAACAATGTAATAAAAAGAATAACTAATAAGACGCCTCATAACTGAATATGAATTGTTAACAAGTTTAATAATAGTAACACATCATTTATATCTAGCTGGACATACACTCCTAACCAGTGTTACTTATAGGATAACTAATCGAATGATTCAAATATTGAGAAAACATTTAACTTGTGACCGAACAACACTGAATATCAACTCAAATGCTACGTGCATGAATAAATTAATGTGTTGCTCGGTCACTCGTTGAATATTTTTCATTATTTAAATAATTAAAATTATAAACAACGTTAAATTTGTGAATAACTCATATTCAGTTATAAGGCATCAAATAAAAACGAAATTTGTCCTTTCTAACCATAAGGAATAGCTATAGTAATACTGATAAGTAAAAATAGGTATACCGCTAATTCAGGTCCGGTCAAAAGTTAAAGATTTAGACTTAACAGTTCTTACGCATACGTCTTACTTTGTAAATAAGTAAAATGTTTGGGTAATTTTGGTTTCAAAATGCTTAAGCACTTTGATCACGGAAGAATAATTGTTGAATGATTCTTCTGAATGATAAGAACAATTTGAAATAGAAAAAGGAGGACATACTATGCCCATTTACAAGAACAGAAATACCTGTTTTGTACTACCAAAATTCCAGGAACCTGTCGCTTTTGTATGCAATTAAAAGCATATTAAATGTCAGTACAAATCAGGATAAGATATAGTTTTGATATAAAAATACTGTAGATCATTTAAACTTATGACAAAATAAAAAACAATGCTGTTAATTGCAGAATTTATCATAAATATCAATTGGGCTGTGCGTACATTGTTTTATTTCCATTATGAAAAAGCATGTTAAATCAGATCTTAAAATCATGCTAATTACATTTATCTATATTTGTATGGCAGTTGTTATCAAATAGTCCGGTTGATGTGTTTCTCTTGGTTTTAGTTTTAACCCGGATTAATTTTCTTTTAATCGATTTATGACTTTTGAACAGCGGTATACTATTTTTGCCTTTATCTATACTACACCATAAAGTATTTTCTATTTTCAAAAATATGTTATAGTTGGTCTCCGATATATATTACTTCAATGCTTGATTAAAATAACCCAATAAGAGTCACGAAGTAAATAAAAGTAGAGGAAACACGCTGAAATTCGATGTTATTCTGGTATAAAGTACAATTCTAATACAATATTCTTAAAATATAACATTAAACATTCGTTTCATTCGATTGTTCATATTGTCGAAAACTAGATGAGAAAATCTCATCTTCCATTTTTAATATTTTAAAGAAAAAGAGTTCAGTTGTAACTGGCATTGCATATTTTGAATTGGCCAAAACAAAATTCGATAGCTTGAAACCAATTGTTAGATTAAAATTTGTTACAAGAATGTCTTCCCAAAATAGCATGTCGTTTGGTTAATATAATCTGATACGATAAACCAAAATATTGCTAAATAAAAGCAAACGTCGATCTTTCTATTGACATGCTATTTTAGATTTATTTACACTAGTTTCATCAGACGAAAAGGTCAGCGATGGTAGAACAGCTACACCAGCTAATTATGGAGAAAAATCTTTGACAGGTATTAAGCCCATATATCAGATTAGAGGTACCTGTTTTGAAATACGAAATTTCCAGGAATCTGTGCGCTTTTGTATGCAATAAAAGCATGTTAAATGTCAGTACAAACCCGGAGAAGGTATAATTTTGATTATAAAATTATTGCAGATTATTCAAACTTATGACAAATATCAAGCAATGCTGGAAATTGCAGAATTTATCAAATGAATCAATCGGGGTGTGCGTACATTGTTTTTTTATTTCCATTATGAAAAAGTATGTAAAAATCAAATTTTAAAATCATGCTTCTTACATTTATCTATACTACACCATAAAAGTATGCTTTATTTTCAATAATATTTTATAGTTGGTCTAATATATATGTTGCTTAAATGCTTGATGAAAATAACACATAACACAGTACTCAATAAGTCAAGAAGTAAACAGTAGAGGAAACATGCTGAAATTCGATGTTATTCTGGTATAAAGTACAATTCTAATACAATATTCTTAAAGTACATCAGTAAACATTCGTTTCATTCGATTTTTTAAATGATCAAAAACTACATAAAACAGCACATATATTCCTTAATCAATATTCTAAATAAAAACAGTTCAATTGTAACTGCCATTGAATATTTTGAATTGGTCAAATCAAATTCAACAGCTTGAAACCAATTGCAAGATTAGAACTTGTTACAAGATTTCCTCCCAAAATAGCATGCCGGTTGCTTAATATTTTCTGATATGTTAAACCAAAATAGTGCTAAATACGCAAATGTAAGTATTAATGGAAATTCGTTCATTCTATTGGGATGCTATTTTAGATTTATCTACACTAGTTACATCAGACGAAAAGGTCAGCGATGGTAGAACAGCTACACAAGTTAATAATGGAGAAAAATCTTTGACAGGTATTATTCTTTACGGATGTCAAGTTGGTTCAATATTCAACATTCAACATTCAACATGGGGGTTTCAATCATTTTTCAACATAATATTCAACATTCAAAATTTTTCTTTTTCTTAAACTTTTTTTTCAATTTTTTTTCTTTTCATTTTTCGATTTTCAACATTCAACATTCGTTTTCAACATTCGATTTTCAACTTTCAAAATTAGTTTTCAACATTAAACATTCGTTTTCAACATTCAACATTCGTTTTCAACATTCGATTTTCAACATTAAACATTCGTTTTCAACATTCAAATTTCGTTTTCAACATTCAACATTCGTTTTCAACATTCGATTTTCAACATTCAACATTCGTTTTCAACATTCAACATTCGTTTTCAACATTCAAATTTCGTTTTCAACATTCAAATTTCGTTTTCAACATTCAAATTTCGTTTTCAACATTCAACATTCGTTTTCAACATTCGATTTTCAACTTTCAACATTCGTTTTCAACATTCAACATTCGTTTTCAACATTTTACATTCGTTTTCAACATTCAACATTCGTTTTCAACGGTCAACATTCGTTTTCAACATTCGATTTTCAACATTCAACATTCGTTTTCAATATTCAACTTTCGTTTTTTTTCAATTTTTTTTTTTCATTTTGCGATTTTCAACATTCAACATTCGTTCAACATTCGATTTTCAACTTTCAACATTCGTTTTCAACATTAAACATTCGTTTTCAACATTCAACATTCGTTTTCAACATTCGATTTTCGACATTCAACATTTGTTTTCAACATTCAACATTCGTTTTCAACATTCAACATTCGTTTTTCAACATTCGATTTTCAACTTTCAACATTCGTTTTCAACATTCAACATTCGTTTTCAACATTTTACTTTCGTTTTCAACATTCAACATTCGTTTTCAACATTCGATTTTCAACATTCAACATTCGTTTTCAACATTCAAATTTCGTTTTCAACATTCAACATTCGTTTTCAACATTCGATTTTCAACATTCAACATTCGTTTTCAACATTCAAATTTCGTTTTCAACATTCAAATTTCGTTTTCAACATTCAACATTCGTTTTCAACATTCGATTTTCAACTTTCAACATTCGTTTTCAACATTCAACATTCGTTTTCAACATTTTACATTCGTTTTCAACATTCAACATTCGTTTTCAACGGTCAACATTCGTTTTCAACATTCGATTTTCAACATTCAACATTCGTTTTCAATATTCAACTTTCGTTTTTTTTCAATTTTTTTTTTTCATTTTGCGATTTTCAACATTCAACATTCGTTTTCAACATTCGATTTTCAACTTTCAACATTTGTTTTCAACATTAAACATTCGTTTTCAACATTCAACATTCGTTTTCAACATTCGATTTTCGACATTCAACATTCGTTTTCAACATTCAACATTCGTTTTCAACATTCAACATTCGTTTTCAACATTTTACATTCGTTTTCAACATTCAACATTCGTTTTCAACATTCAACATTCGTTTTCAACATTCGATTTTCAACTTCCAACATTCGTTTTCAACGTTCAACATTCGTTTTCAACATTCGATTTTCAACATTCAACATTCGTTTTCAATATTCAACATTCGTTTTCAACATACGATTTTCAACTTTTAACATTCGTTTTCAACATTCAACATTCGTTTTCAACATTCGATTTTCAACTTTCAACATTCAAAATTCGTTTTCAACATTCGATTTTCAACTTTCAACATTCGTTTTCAACATGCGATTTTCAACATTCAACATTCGTTTTCAACATGCGATTTTTAACATTCAACGTTCGTTTTCAACATTCAACATTCGTTTTCAACATTCGATTTTCAACTTTCAACATTCGTTTTCAACATTCAACATTCGTTTTCAACATTCAACATTCAACATTTGTTTTCAACATTCGATTTTCAACTTTCATCATTCGTTTTCAACATTCAACATTCGTTTTCAACATTCGATTTTCAACTTTCAACATTCGTTTTAGAACAATCATATCATATTGAACATGTGTATTAAGTTAAATCGAATGTTGAAAACGAATGTTGAATATTGAAAACGAATGCTGAAAGTTGAAAATTGAATGTTGAAAATCGAATGTTGAAAACGAATGTTGAATGTTGAAAACGAATGTTGAATATTGAAAATCGAATGTTGAAAACGAATGTTGAATGTTGAAAACGAATGTTGAATGTTGAAAACGAATGTTGAAAGTTGAAAATCGAATGTTGAAAACGAATGTTGAATGTTGAAAACGAATGTTGAAAGATGAAAATCGAATGTTGAAAACGAATGTTGAATGTTGAAAACGAATGTTGAATGTTGAAAATCGAATGCTGAAAACGAATGTTGAATGTTGAAAGTTGAAAATTGAAAGTTAAAAAAGAATGTTGAATGTTGAAAATGAATGTTGAATGTTGAAAACGAATTTCGAATGTTGAAAACGAATGTTGAATGTTGAAAACGAATGTTGAATGTTGAAAACGAATGTTGAAAGTTGAAAATCGAATGTTGAAAACGAATGTTGAATGTTGAAAACGAATGTTGAATGTTGAAAATCGAATGTTGAAAACGATTGTTGAATGTAGAAAATCGAAAGTTGAAAAAAAAAAATTGAAAAAAAAGTTTAACAAAAAAAAAATTTTGAATGTTGAATGGTGAAATCGAATGTTGAATGTTGAAAAGGATAAACTCCCCCCTCTCCTCCCAAAAAAAAAAAATAATGTGTTGCTCGGTCACTTGTTGAATATTTTTCAATATTTTAATTATTAAAATTATTAACAACGTTAAATTTGTTAATAACTCATATTCAGTTATAGGCATCAAATTAAAACGAAATTTGTCCTTTCTAACCATAAGGAATACCTATAGTAATATTGATATATAGAAATAGGTACACCGCTAATTCAAGTTCGGTCAAAAGTTAATGATTTAGACATAACAGTTCCTATGCATACCTCTTACTTTGTAAATAAGAAAATGTTTGGGTAATTTTGGTTTCAAAATGCTTAAGCACTTTGATCACTGATGTATTATTGTAGAATGATTTTTTTAAATGATCAGAAAAAAAGGATATTGAAATGGGAAGGCATATTATGGTCTTATATAAGACCAGGAGTACCTGTTTTGTACTACCAAACTTCAAGGAATCTGTACGCTTGTGTATGCAATAAAAAGCTGTTATATGTCAGTACAAGCTCGGATAAGGTATAGTTTTGATATAAAATACTGTAGATTTTTTAAACTTTGACAAATATCACTCAATGTTGTAAATTGAAGAACTTTTCTTAGAAATCAATCGGGCACATACGATAAACCAAAATATTGCTAAATAAAAGCAAACGTCGATCTTTCTATTGACATGCTATTTTAGATTTATTTACACTAGTTTCATCAGACGAAAAGGTCAGCGATGGTAGGACAGCTACACCAGCCAATAATGGAGAAAAATCTTTGAAAGGTATTATTCTTTTAAAATTTTAATTCACAAAAATATCAGTTATACATTTACGCATCTGATATTAATATATCGCAAACAAAGTCCAGTTTGAAAATTGTGATTTGTATACATCGGTGCATTAGTGTGAACTGTACCTGTTCTATCAATTATTTTTATGCCTACAAAAAAATATACATGTACATCTAAATATATCGTGTGAACGATTATTTCATACAAAACAAAAATTAGCAATGACTCTGAACAGCTGCATCGACAAAGAATATTATTTTCCTCCGCACATTTCCCTGTAATGCTGTATTAGACATTTCAGAATCTGTAAGACTATTAGTAATTTCATTTCCCGTATTCGTAAAAAAAAATAACTTCACGTCGTTGTTGCACTTCCATTTTGAGAATGTTGCTTACCAATAACCCCATTTTGGTGTATTCTTTTTAGAATATTCAAAAGAAAGTTTTAAATTATAAAAATGTCGAATTTGTTTATTCTCTTGCAAAAATGCACATCAGTGTATTCAATTATTGACAAAAGCTGTTCAATTAATGATGAAATGAAACTAGAATTAAGGGTCATAATGCCTCAATAATTTTACTTGTGAATAATTGTTGTATTTCATGCACTCAAATGATATCTACTTTATGCTTATCCATAGTAAGTCGAAATAGTATTATGTAACCATTATCATAACCTTAATGCGGAAAGGAAATTGATTGATTGGTTGATCGATTGATTGGTGTTTAAAGTCACTTTCAGCGCTGTTAGCTTTATCCTATTTAATCTTTAATTTTGTGACTTTATGTCCGTGGTTCCATCGACAATATTCAATACTAGATGCGGATCCAGGATTTTGAAAAGGGACCCGAACACCCTCCCCTCCCCCCTGAAATCCGCTTCTGGGTTTTTTTTCTGTAGTCAAGATTTTTGTTTTTTTTCTATCTCTATTAGGACAAATACATACAATAACAGGTGCTATGATTGGTGTAATGTCAAGTGCTGTTATACTTTACCATGCTGCACCTATAATGAAGGGACTTCTAAAACTGGTATCAAAAACTGCTGACGTATGTATATATATATTGAGTAATAAAATGCTTCAAGCAATTGAATATGTACCAAAATAATGCAATTACTTCGGGACAAAGCAAATGCATGTATTGTGAAAAACACTAGTAAATAAATTATATGTATTAAAAAGTCTTAATTGATTATTTTTTACCAGTTTTTTGGACTTATCCACTGTGGTAAATTCAGTACTGCCCATACAATTTGCAGACAGTCCGACCATAGACAAATTACTCAAACAGAACAATTCTCATATATTCAAGTAATTAGTTTGATGAAAATTTCTAAGTTATTGTAAATAAAAAAAAAGTAGAAAAACCAGAAGTGCGTGTGTCAGCTGATCTCAGGTATTATTATATGACTATAAATTTTCTCTTTTCTCATTGGATAAAAGCATAGGAAATACTCTTAAATAAAACATTATATTCACCGCGGCAAAAATCACGAGATGTTAATATAAGATTTGGAACAGCTTCCGTGTACCTAACTATAGATTTTCCAAGGCAACGTCAATGACATATGTTTATGACGTCATGAACATTCCCGTTTTTTCGTTTTTCTTCTTGTTTTCCGTGTATTTTTTTCTTCTTTTTGTTTTCTGTGTATTTCACTGGTAAACTTTATTGAATATTACAACTTATGAAAATTACCAACTGCAAAAGCAGATAATACATTTAGTATAAAAAGGGAGCAGTTTTCAAACATATATCTTGGGTTGATAAATTATTGTACAGCCTCATAAAAATCAATAAGTGTATATTATTATATGACTATAACAATTCTCTTTCCTCATTGGCTTTAAACGTAGGACATCTTTTTTTATTAAACGTTATATTCACCACGGGAAAAATTACGAGAAGTAACTATAAGTCTTGGAACAGCTTATCTATAAATAATTATTTCGAGGCATCGTCAATAACGTAGGCTATTTACGTCATACACATCCTCATTTTCTTGTTCTTTTTTCGATGTAATTTTTTCTAAATAAATCTAATTGCATATTTCAACGTATAAAAGTTTATATAGTAAACACCCACGAGACTATAAAAACGACTGTTCTCAAAGAACTAGACAATACATAACATAAATCTTTCTGGTGCTAAACATACTATGGGACTCCCAGTGTTTTGAAATTTCAGAAATGTCCTCAAGTGTATGCCACTAATATGGAAATGATCGTGGGAAACTCATTTTCAAAACAAAATGTGGTGTACAAAGTGAGACTGTAAGGAGAATATGTCTTTGACCTAACATTCTGTCAAGCTGTAATAGCAGCTAATGTGACGATTCTTAAGAATTGATCTAAACAATCCAAAAACATAGGCAAAGTATAGTAGTTATCTGAGAAAATCTCAAGCAATTGTTTAAAAATTTTTTAAAAAAAAGTCTTTGTCAGATGTTTTGGCTTTATTGTAATTTTTTATTACAGGAAGAGATAACACAGAAGGAAGTCGAAGACCAAGTGTCAGATACAATTGCAATTGCTACGTTAGACATAGATGAAGGGATACTATTTACAAGGCGTATTGACATTTGGTCAGTTCCGCCCATCAGTCATAGTGATGTCGTTTCTTAATGTTCTCATATGGTCAACGTTTATTTGAAACCCTTTTAGGTTTTAGTTGTTCTTTAAGAGCTGTGCAATTGTTTGTATCAAACAGCCCTTTATTTCACAGAACGCTTTAAAAACAATATTCAAAGTCAACTTTTAACTTTTTGCAATTTGAATACATTTTGGTTGCAGTTGACATTATTTCTTCGAACAATTTAGATATATTGTACCACTTTATTTTTATATTTTCGTATATGATTTTGTAACAAAAGCAGCACATGAACCTTTATTATTTAGACTTTGATAGTTGAGAGTACATTGAATGTTCTGAACGTATCGTATGTTACTAATAAAAGTAGTGCTCTGTTCTGAAGTTACTGTTATTTACAATAACATTACCTTCAGTAGTACTTTTGTGGTGAGTCTGGTGAATGATCTGTTTAACAGCCATCCAATATGCATTTGTTTAAACACTACCCATATTTGATATGACTGATTGTCCCTAGAAAAAGCCACTCGGGATCCATTGTATCGGAATTGGTCATGATTTGTTCACCTGTCATCTGTATGTAATGTTCAGCCTGTGAGGCATTGATTCGGCCCTGAAAATTATTTATGTGCATGATAGTTCCGATTAATCACCCGCTTAAAAGACATTGCATCGGAATAAATCATGATTTGTTAATCTTTTGATCTTGGTTATCTTCCACCCTTCAGGCATTTGTATTACAATGGGTGTTTAAATTATACTATCAAAACGATAGGACGAGGGTTTGCGTGTTCACTTTATACGGACTTCATTTACAGGATTGTGCTCCTCACGCATAAAATCAAGCAACTAAAGAGCTGAGAAAGCAATGCTTAATTTGACACAATAAAGTCTCATGGTCACTTTTACGAATTGTTTGACCGATCCGATTTCATATATCATACCATTTTTGTGTGCATCCACAAGAGACACTAGCTCTGTCGACGGAACATGTTTCGATCTGTTTGTCCAAACGTATTGTATACATTGTGTGTCTAAACTCATATACTGAGAGAAATGTGTTCGTGGCCTTAGATTTTAAAATCTAGGAATTAATAAACATATTATTTTGTTGCTTGCATCTACGTCATTTGGTCTATTTTGGCTATTATACAAAAACTTCTTATTTTCATATGGTCTAAACCGCCTTGCATCTTGCACCTTAGATTTTTAGATGCCGGAATAGTTGTCTGACCGTTTTGAATCGCCATGTTTGACCTTTTAGTGACAATTTTATTGGGTGTGGATTCTCATGATTGATTAACCTGATCTTACCTCTTTTGAAATTTTTGACAATCCTTCAGTGTTTTTTTTCTTGATTTGTATCTTTTTGTTGCATTTATGAGTTTTGAACATCGATAAACTAATATTGTCATTTATTGAAACATGCACAAAATGAGTTGATTATCAAGTTTTCTGTGCATTCAAACATACCTATATTGATAAAAAGATTAGTGATATGACTTTTAATGAGACGACTCTCCGCAATTGACCAAATGACGTAGAAGTTTACAACGACAAGTCAACGTAAGACCTAACAATGAACACAACCCGTACCGCAAGTACGCTATAAAAAGTCCCAAAATGACAAATATAAAAAAGTTCAAACAAGAAAACTAACGGCCTTAGGTTTGAACAAAACAATAAACAAATCAAATATGACATACAGCAACAAACGACAATAACTGAATTTCGCGATCCTGACTTGGAACAGGCACAAACATAGTGTCGCGGGGTAAAACAAGTTTGCTAGCGCCAAATCCTTCCCCTTATCTGGGACAGCGGTGTAACAATACACGTAAGAACAACCCATAAAAATCATGCAGTTGAAAAGGGCTTAACTTATCAGATCGATACAAAGCACTTAAAAAGTACCGATCTGAGAGCATTTGCAGTTACTGGAAAGCCAGTTTAAAGCTAATACTACATTCTAAAAATCTTGTATCTAAGACTAAAATATAAATCAGTATAACTCCAACATCTAATATATTAAGTGTCGATTTTCTGTACATATTCACTTTGAAATTCACGTACTAAATTTCAACATGCAACTATTGTTTTGTTATGACCCCGCTGCGTTTTCTCGTCTAATGAAATGTAAGTCGCATTTTTCTCAGAAACTACAAATATGCTGATCTTCAAAGACAATTTGATAGCAAGTTCAATGTTATCATTCTATACCATGTAATGCGTTTCTCGCGTTTGTCGATTTTTTTCTTCTTCATTTCCTGTTTGTCGAATTCTTATACATGTATATAGCCTTACACATTATGGCCATGATGTTTTGATTGATGAATATTTTCTTGAAAATGAAATACCTCTTTTAAAAGTGTATTACTTGTCAAAGATTTGTATGTGTTATACAGTTCAACTGATACAAACGTTGTTGGTATAGTACGCGTAAGTAGCAGTTACATATTGTTCAAACAAATGATAAAAGATGAAAACAACACGTTACAAGGATGTATAAGTCCGAAACAGTTGAAGTGCTATATAATAAAAAATGACATAAAATAATAGCCGAATCCTTTTAAAACCAACATTGCCTGAGGGAGTTGAAACCTTAGTTTCTTTATAATTTAAAAATTAATAAACAGGCAAATTTAGAAAGGTTTTTTGTTATTCATGTCAGTACCGAAGTACAGACTACTGAGCTGATGATACCCTCGGTGACTGATAGTCCACCAGCAGAGGTATAGACCAAGTGCTGTAAAACATGAAAACAACACATTACAAATTTAATGCATCCGAAGCGCTTTTCTGGATTTACCTTCATCAGGTACGCTTAAAGCCGAATATTTGAAAGCCAAGGATGTAACATTGTCGACGTTATATGATCTGCTAAAAGAAGTTCCCCTGGAAACTTTATCATAAACATTGCCATGATGTTTCTTCCTATTGTAACAAATATTCTATACCCTTTATTCCGTAAGGAACAAATAATCTAGAAGAAATAACATAGCAGAAAATTTCTTCCACTTGGAACTTATATTGTAAAGGAAAATCTATCTCATGACAACATTAAACTTACTAAACGGCATAACTTATTTGGCAGTGAAAATAATTTGGAAGATTTATCCATATAAATGATAATGAATAATGATATTAAGCATCTGTATACATTGTCCTGATTTTAGATGTTTTAGAATTACAGCTTAGTTCTGTACGGTACGATACGGAGCCCCGCTAGAGGCATACAAAGAAAAAAATATATTGTGCGCACAAAATGATATATTGTGCTCACAATTGACCATATCTAGAATTGACCTATGACTTGTTGTTACATTGATCTTTATTTCATTTATTGTAGATATTATTGTTGAATATATTATTGTCTGTATTTGGATCACGCCTCTATTGTGCTCTTTCCAATAAAATATTGAATTAAATTGAATTGACTTGAATACATATGTTGTGCACACAACTCATATATTGTGCGCACATAATAATATATTGTGCGCACACAATAAAATATTGTGCACACACAATAAAATATTGTGCACACATTTCAAATATATTCTGTGCGCACAACATAATATAATGTGCGCAAAAAATAATATGATGTTAGTGTGTTTAGATTCATATATATATATATATATATATCTGTCTGTTTGTCTGTTTGTTTGTCTGTCTGGTCATTTGTCTGTCTGTCTGTCTTGTATTTTTTAGTCTTGTCTTTTCCAATACATATTTGTAACACGAGCTTTGTTGTCTTTTGTGTCACTCAAAGTAAGCAAAAAAACGTTACCAAAGTTCCTTACATAAACAACTTTGATTGATGTAAAGAAAAAAAGAAACGACATTTGATACGATTGTCACTGAGACAATTACAAATGTATCCAAAGATAGAAATGGATTTCAGCAGCTAACATTAAATTAACATCTCAAGACATGTAGAGGTAAACATAAAAAAAATCTCAATATTTGATCAAAAGAAATGTATGTGAAATAAATAAATTTAATGTGCACTATTTATTTGGTCACTTAGATCAAGTTTTCCAATTGATATGGTTTATTTTTTATAATCCCTTAAAAGACAAAAACAATATGGCGTATTATGTATGAATCACCATATTTAAGTCTATCAAAACAATGTGGAGGGGAATAAAGCAATCACCCTGTCCATGATTAAGTAAACTTAAACATGACGCGAATGACTTCTAATGTTTGATATAGACTTTGCTCATTGTTGATAGCCATGTTATCACAATGGCATAATTTCTTACTGTAATGCCACCTTTTTAATGGTTTGGTCAATTTATTCAACGGGGATACAAACATTCTCAATGATATGTTAATTGCAATTTACGGTTGGTATCGACTGTTACCTATTTGATTTGTTCTGGCCTTTTCCTGGATGGCAGATATGAATACCCTGGTTGCATAACAACTTTATTGCACTTGTATTTGTACTTCTGTCACAAAATCTCGTGTCTCCCTGGTAAATGTTGCTATTTGCGTGTCGCTGGTTGGGATCTCAGGTAACGAGTTCACGGAAAATAGGCAAACGGAACTTAACCTCGCTTTTCCTTAACATGAATTGGTCCCGGTTACAATAGTCAGGCCTTACGCAGATGCAATAGAAATATTATAAAGCGGGAACATGCGTGGTAAGACTAAACAAAAGTATATGATGTGGTCAAACAGTGAAGACGAACACTATCTTATCATAATGACATTCCATGACCTTACAAACAATATTAAGATACAATAAAAGTTTTGATATTCATGTATACGCGTTGGCTAACAGCAAACGACGAACTTAATAGTAGAAAAGAGTGTTCAATGGGTAGCCTGAAAATACACGTATGTACAATTAAGTGACTACGTCTTGAAAAAAATTTTTGTTATGTTAATTTTTCTCTTATCATAAGAAATAGGATAACTATATTTGGTATGTGTATAACTAGCAAGGTCCTCATGTTAAAATTGAGAATGGAAATGGGGAATGTGAGACAACAACCCGACCAAAGAGCAGCAACAGCCGAAGGCCAACAATGGGTCGTCAATGCAGCGAGAAACTCCCGCACCCGGAGGCGTCCTTCAGTTGCCCCCTAAACAAATATGCATAATAGTTCAGTGATAATGGACGTCATACTAAACTCCAAATTATACACAAGAAACTAAAATTACTAGCAGTTACTGACATGCCAGCTCCAGACCTCAATTAAACTGATTGAAAGATTATGTCTTCATCATATGAATATCAGGCACAATCCCTCCTGTTAGGGGTTTAGTATTATACCATCATAAAATATATAAGAAGAACATAACCCG